TGTGAGACGCAAGTCAAGGCGATGCTAAARCAAAAACGAAAACCTGGCACAAAGAACGAAGAACAATGAATTTTGGTTAATTGGTGTACTTTCTACAGCAGTTATCATTAGAGATGCTGATTTAGCATTTCTGAAAGATTTTCCATGTCAAGCAACCTCAGCTGAGCTGGTTGAATAATTGCTTACTACTAAAGACTCTTTCCTAGTGATCCTTAGTTGCACTTTAGTACCACAGCAGTCATCAGCAGTACAACAGTCATCTAGATACCATCCTGTGATGGCGAGTTCCTACACCCTCCTCTTGGATCATTTTATTTGATGTAAAGACCCAAACATAAATAGTGACGAACTTCTCCGAACTGAACATGACTCTTTTTAAACTGATTTATTGATTTAAAAGAAAGCTAAAATCCATGCAAACACGAAACAGAAAATAATACTTTTTAGTCTATGGCCAAAATGAGAAACAAGGAAACATTTTCGTAAGTTTTGCTGGCACATTGTACCCTCAGTAATTATTACCGAGTTCAAAGTGTTTTGTTAGTTTAGTAGCCTTGGGAAAACAGTTCGTACTCGATAACAATGTGAAGTTGATCGTAGTAGGACGGGTTTTAGATCCTGGCAGCCCTTCAGTGACACATCTAATTGAAAAAAACAAAAACATTGTCAGGTCTCAAAAGGTAAGACCATCGCAGATAATACTGGGTACTCAGGAATTTAAATAATATTTTTTGTTAATTTTGAACGTAAAAAAGTAGGTGAAACAACTTACGGATGTTTCGACGTTAATCCTTTGTCGGAGTTAAGCTCCTGCGTTATAATGTATCTTTTTGCAAAACTGTTTATTTAAAAACACTGACGCATACTAGTTCAACAGTCTGACTAGTTTTGCTAGTTTCCACCAAATAAGTTCATACACGTTACATTATAACAACACTCGTAGAAAAGGTAATTTTTATTGTGAACCTTTTACGTCACTACTTGATTTGCAATGCATTGTGGGATAAGTTTCTTGAGAAAACAAAAGAAATCCGCCATTTTCTGTCCCAAACATGTCCTACAATGCATTGCGTATACGGTACATGACGTAAAAGCTGCAGAGGTCTATTGCTACACATAATTTTGAACTAATTATTAGCTTTCCCATGCTTCTTTTCGCTCGTAGCTTTGATGAGGTAACCTTTTTGAACCTGACTAAGTTGTTTCAATTCGGTGTRTACAGAAAATAGATGATGCTAGCAACTAAAATTTTATTGAATTTGTATCCTTGTCCCTCAAACAAACCATATATTTCGTGATTTTAAGTTGTGTTTTTGTTTGTTTGTTAACGTTTGTTTGTTTTTTTTAAAGCGTTTTATTGATTTCATAAAAGAAAATTATGAAAAGTTTRGAGCTGCCATGGATTGAACACCACTTGTAAACAATATCGGTAAACTAGTTCGTCGTCAAGATTGATGTCGAATCCTTTTCAACCAAAATTCATTGAAATTTGTTCTGGTGAAGGTATTTTGGTGTTTTTTAGTTTAATTTTTGACAAGATTTAAATTTTCTTTCCTTTCTTAACAAATATTTTCTCCTCTCCATTAACAAACACAACTTAATCCTAAGTTTTATGCCAGTTGATAATAAATAAAACGATTCTTGTCCAAGTAATTTTAGAAATGTACACAATAAACGAACATTGAAAAATTTAATTTTCGTCTGATTTATATGTACAGTTCCGTTTTGCTGCATGTGGGATTGTCGGTTTGCTCGCTGAACGCGCATGCGTGCATAAAATCTATAAAACTACAGTTCAAATAAAGAAAKCAAGTCATTTGATATATCCTGTTTTTGCTAGAATATTCAATATCAAGCAAATCAGTATTCGTCTAATTTGCTATTTATCTGGAGTTTTAAAAAGAGGTTTGTTCAAAAATGACTTTGTTGTTGTTTTTACGTCTTTACAATTGGATGAGGAATCGAATGCGAGGTTGRTTGGTTACTCTTTGCGCAAAATAAGACTTCTACTAAAGTAAACTAGAGTTAATTTGCAACGAGCTAAATGAGAAGTTTATTAAAAGCGTTAAATCTGTTGTGTGTGCCTCGATTTTTATCTCTAACAATTGGCCCTACTAGACTATAAATTGGTATAAAAGCGACATATTACTTTTCTAGAGATTATTAACATAGTGTTATTTACCCGAGGGTTTTTAATGAGAATTTTACTTTACAATATTTATTCAAACATCGTGCGGCATATGAAAGAGAACAAAAGTGCAAGTTTACTTCTCATTGAAAAGGCGTTAAAATCAACACACATCAGTGTGTTTCACCCCGGCAGTCGCTGGCACAATGTTCAAATTCACAATAAATGTGTTAATATACAATCAATAATATTGACCAAAACAAAATAACCAGGAATTTGAAGAACTAGTTGAACAGTCATGGCAGCTTTTATTTGGAACAAATTTACTTCTAAAATACCTCTTGAAAATGTCTAATACATAACGAGAAAGAGTTACAAATTCAACCTTTATTCATGATATACTTCTATTCAAAAGTTGCCCGAAATGTGACTCAGTTTGGAAAACATTTTTCAAAGATTATTATTTTYAAATGCAATTACGGAGTGCTCATTACTTAACATAGTAGAATACTGCTTAGTTTGAATTTATAARATAATTTGACTTTTTTCCCAAGGTAAACAAGGCGAAAATCTGTCAAATACWAATTCATTTACTCACTAAAGAGGGAAACATCCTGTCAAATGCTTTTTTATTCATAGAGCTTGATTATTATTATTGCGTTTTAGAGCGTATCTTTAAAAGGTTTCCTTGACTTAAGTTACCATTTTTCATGTTCCTGTTTGTTTTCTTGACGGATGGAAAATATTTATAAATTTTCATGTTTTTTGTCAAAAACACGGAAAATGAAAGTTTGATATGGTCAATTGAATACGAACTGGTTGAGGCGGGAAAATGAACAGCGCGCGAGCACATGAACAACCACGTTGTTTTTGGAATGGATTTTATGCTGGCATCTACAATCCAAATCAAATTAAAACGGATCATTTATGACAGTTTATTTATTTGATTGCATTATTTTGAATGAACATCGTATTATTTTATTATTACGCTCGTAAATCATTAGAAAGTTGACAGATTATTTCAGTTTATGAAATGATCTGTTGACGAAAAACGACTCAATAGAAATCATTATTTTCAAATAAAACTCAAATTGCATTCGATGTATAGTTCGTTGGAAGCGCAACTAAGATTAAAATGATAAAATCAACAGCTTTCAAATGGGTAAGTTTAATTAAGACAAAAGAATAAACGTAATAAACAGGCAAAACATTACTAAACATGAAAGCACTTGAATTAGTCGTGAAAAGAATAATTTGATATCAGTCAAATTCGAAAAAAAAGTTGAATTGCAAAGCGGAAAAGGACCGAGAAAGAATTAAAAAAAAGGTTTTTTAATATCAAGGACGTTATCGTCATTTCCTTGACAGCACTGATATGCACAGGAAGTATCCCTCAAATAATTGATGTGAAAGTGTTCAAGGAAGTATAGAGAGGTGCTCATCAGGCCTTCATTATCACAATTTAGAACAGCTTCAAGCTTTCTTATCGACCAATCAGCAGGTCGACATAAACAAAACCCCATCACTGAATCAGACGAACATAACAAAAAACTTCAAAAGCAGAGCAAGATTCATTATCCGAAATGTCTTGATTATTATCAAGCCAAAGTTGACTATCTCAATATTATGCGATAAAAATAGGCACCTTAGTAGGGCTACTTTTGCGCTTTGCGCGTTGAATAAACAACTTTAGAAGGAAATGCAAATAGCTTATGAAAACTGAAACTCCGGACACCAATTATATTAAAGACCAAAGACACATACTATTCTAAGGAGGACAGTCAAAGAGAAAGCGCGAGGCAGGTATGTCTTGGTTGGTCGTTTTGTTTCTAATACTGTGCTTGTCAAGCGAATGCTCATCAAGTCATGCCCCAAGCAAAGTTATAAGGACGCCAGGAGATATAATTCTTGGCGGGCTTTGTCCGCTTAACTACCCGACGAACTCTAAAGATGACAAAGCGAAAAAGGTGTTTGGTGATGGATGTAAAGGGAGCTTTAACTATAGAGGGCTTCAACATGCTGAAGCCATTTTGTACGCTGTGGACCAAATTAATCAAAATCCAGGAATTCTGCCCGGTGTTCAGCTTGGTGTTGAAATCAGAGACACCTGCAATAGCGTCGACCATGCAATTCGTGAAACTCTTCAATTCAGCTTTGTACAAGACGCATACCGCCAAGGAGAAGGTGGACAGTGCGTGGGAAATGTAGCTCAAAATTCAACGGGAAACACTGTCGCTATCATAGGAGCGGCTTACAGTGGAATTACCATGGCAGTGACTAGCTTAGCAGGTCTTTTTTACGTCCCTGTAGTGAGCTACGCATCAACAAGCCGTCTTCTTGAAGACAAGTCGAGGTTCAAGTACTTCTTGAGAACCGTCCCCTCAGACAACCTCCAAGCACAGGCTATGGTTGGCATCATTCAAGCATTCAACTGGAGCCTTGTGTCGACCATTGCCTCTGACACGGAATACGGGAGATCAGGAATCGACGCATTTCGGACAACTGTAAATAAACTAAATCAGCCTATCTGTATAGTMGTAAATGCTTTGTTTACTACAAGAACAAAGAAGTCTTATTTAAAGAGAGTCATGAAGAAGCTTCGGGATCATTCCAAGGCGAAGGTAATTGTTCTTTTCGCCGAGTTAAACGACGCAGAATACTTCATTAATATKGCTAAAGAGGAAAACTTGAAAGGGAAAATTTGGATTGGTTCGGATGCTTATGCCAAGTCTTTCCATATTTTGAACGGTAACGAGGATATTCTTGCAAACTGGATTTCTTTATCCCCWGAGGACAAGCAGTACAAGCCGTTTAAGGAATACTACATGAATCTGACACAAAAACGAATAGAGAGAAACCCCTGGCTATCCAAATATAGTGCCGATCTTTCTAAACAATTCAACTTGTCTGAGCGTATTGACTTCTCTACTTACACTGCTACAGCAATAGATGCTGTTTTCGCGGTAGCGCACGGACTTCACGATATGTACAGGTGCAATCAGTTTGGCTGCAACACGAATACGACGCAAATTGACCAGAMWAATGCGTATGATTTCATTAAAAAAGTATCTTTTATTTCGCCGACTGGGAACAGYGTAAAGTTTGATTCCAGTGGAAGTGCAGGTAGTCGATACATGATCACATACTTAAACAACAAAACTACTGCAGGCAACGYCTTTCATGTTCTTGGTAAGTGGAATTTGAAGACTGGTTTCAAGTTTTCCAAAAATTACAGACATTCTAAGAACTCACTCATGAAAAATCTAACATCATCTTGTAGCATCAAGTGYSCCCTTGGCTATCGTAAAACACCTCAGCATAATTTCCCAAAGTGTTGCTGGGAATGTACCCGTTGTCCTGGTAACGCTATAACAAACACCTCAGATTTCGCAGCGTGTATCACGTGTTCTCCAGGAACGCGCGCCAATCAGGGAAAATCTTCATGTGACGTCATTGAGCCCACRATAATCGTCATGACGACRGCAGGCTTGGTGGTGGTCGGGACGTACAGCTTGGGGATGATGGTAGTGTTGGTAACCATAGCCGTGTTTATCAGACAYAGAGAAAGTCCTGTAGTCCGGGCCTCAAGTAAAGAGCTGTCCTACGTTATTTTATGGGGAATCGCAGTAAATTTGACAAGCAGTCTTCTCGTCACTTTGAAACCTACAACAATCCTTTGTCAACTMCGSCCATTCTTATCAAGTGTSGGAATAGTGATGGTGATTGGTTCTTTACTTTCGAAAACTAACCGMATCTCTCGTATTTTCAGCCTAAAGACCATGCGCACTGGAACAACTCAATTTGTCAGCATAAAATGGCAGCTTATMTTTGTGTGCATTTGTGTACTAATAGGCAACGCCGTATCRGCKGTGTGGATCATCATTTCACCTTTTGAGATCGTCACAGTCCCTCAYGGYGAACGTGAAGTAACAATCGAGTGYTCGGAGAGTGCTGGGACGGGTTTTGCTATATGGGCAACTTATCACGTTGGGCTTGTTTTGCTCTGTACTTATCAAGCATTCCTRGTTCGTAAGGTYCCTGAGAACTATAACGAGGCCAAGTTTATTGCTTTCACTATGGTMACCCTGTGTTTAACAGCTGCAGTCTATATACCTACATACTACGGCACACGAGGAGCGTATCGGCTTGTGTTAACTGCCTCCGTTTATCTATTCTGCAGTTTTACGACTTTATTTTGCCTTTTTGGGCCTAAAATGTACATTATCTTGTTCAGACCCGAGAAGAACCAGCCACTGCGACCGAGAGTAGAATCCGGCAGACCTCAGTTGCAGCGTTCAGTTTCTGCTTTGGCTATCAGCTCTAACTCTAGTTCACTGACTGCACAGAATAAAACTCTCAGTTTCATCTCATTAGTAAATAATACTTAACTCCAGKGGAGTGAAGTCCAAAAACCCGTGAAATTGATATTACACTAATATATGTTASAACGCTCTAATTACATTGATTTTCTGAAAACAAAGCGTCCATTCAACACATTGTGATTAKAAGTGCCTAAATAAGTGAAAAAGCCGCATTTCTTTAGTTTTACGACAATCATTGTTGCCGCTAGTCAAAGACAAACCAAAAACAATGAAGTTAGAAAGAGAATGGTTAAGTAAATGAAGGTGGTGGAAAACAGGTTTATTAAGATTGTTGCCACGAATAAAAATTATGCTTGATTAAAGCTAAGATTGCACAAAGATAATTTGAACTGGAGTTTAGTCAAGGTTYTTTCATGGGTTTTATGACTTCAATCGAATGCAAAACAAATGAGAATTTTTTTTGAAATTCAGTTTTTTTAAGCATAGGGATATTCCAAGCAAAAAGTCTCGAAGACATGGAACGACCGTCAATATACCGCCGTCAATGTYATAATAGCCGGTACCATGGCAAAATATTTATTTTTAGTTCTTGCTTTGTAATGAAGAAATACGCATATAAATATGCAATATTTATAAATATTTACAAATGAAAATAATAAATGCTAAAAGAATTAAGAAGAAAATGCTGCTTAGCTTCTTATATTTTTTTTTATAGAGCATTCAGGAGGGATTTTGCTTTTTGTCACTAAGTTGTGAGAGCCTAATTTTGTGAGCTCATACAATCAACAAAAATGCCCAATTTATAGTAGACTACCCCATGACCAACTTATACAAGCTCACAGAGTTGAAGGATAGATGGATGTTTAGATTGTTTCCACATTCCTGGAAAAAAACGCGCACTTTAAAGATTGCAAATTTGATATAAGTGTCCAAAATGATGTACATTCAATGTAAATAATTTAAATTAAATTTACATAAAATTTACAATCTTTAAAGTGCGCGAATTTTTCCAGTGATAACTGCCTTCCTCGCCTTGCATCTCTTTTTCTCATCAATATTAATCTTCTCCATGTTGTTTTTAAAACTCTTGAAAGTCCGTACACTCAAACAGCACTTAAAAAATGTTCTCAGAAGAATTTTATTGTCTCAAATTTCTTGATATTTACCTTATTTTGTACAAATTGTTCATTCAAATTAATCTTCTTTACAATCATATCAAGTCTGAGGATATTAAACCCGTGAAACAATAAGGTGTGATAGTCTGACGTAAAAGGAACAATAGAATTTCTAAGAAGCATAAGTGCAATATCTATTTTACGAGTTTTGAGTAGTTTTCATAAATCCGTGAAATCCATTTTAGCCCACTGGATATTTTTAAAAATGAATCAATACCATTACGATGGCACTCTTTCACAATCACAAAAAAACTTCTAGGGCCGGTTGTACAAAGGACAGGTAAAGTTAATGTTATCCACCAGATTTTTTATGGATTTCATCCGATAAGCATTTATCGGGTGAATAGCGCTTTTCACCTTATTCACAACCAGCCCCTATCGATCCTGTGAAGAAACACTGAAAATATCAAGAGCAAAAACACACGTTTGTGGCTTCATTAAAGTCAGAACTAAGTCTTCTTTGCAGCCTATCTAAGTGTTAAGCTTAGTAGAAGAAGAAATATAAGTGAAGTTCTTTATAAAAAGCTTTAATTGACTGTTTTACGAATACCCAATATCGAAAATATACAGAATTTTGAACTCCATTCGTGCAGTATTGCCAAAGTTTCCCTAAATCCTAAATTCTTTCCAAGTGAAAGTGGATATGATCTCATTTGCATGCATGTAATTATATAATCATTTACACTGTCTTGAAGTGCTTTTTTACAAATAGTTTTGACAAGAAATTTCCTTCACTTACATCCAAGAACCTTCGCGCGATTTTTTTTTCATATGAAAACATTTGAACCAATCAGAAAGGAACTTTCAACAACAACATTTCTTTCTTTTCTTATCGTTTTCTTTTTGTTTGTTTGTTGTTCTTTTGTTTTGAAACTAAGCAAATRATCCCTAAGGTTCTTGAACGCAAGTGTGTATATTGAGAAAGTTCAAACACAAAATTTAATAATATTATTATCCAAAAAAATTTAAATTGAATTTTACTCTGTTGTCACGTTTTTGGTTTTAAAAAACTCTTAGTGAATAACTTCAAAAAATAATCGAATGATTCGAAATAAAGTATAAGGTGATTGGATAGTGTAGTTAACATCAATATTTTCCAAAATAGCTCAATGAAAAATGCTTATGGCCGATTTAGACGACACAACTTTTGCTTGCAACCATCGCATGCGACCTGCGTAAGTCATCCTTACAACATGGCTACAACYGTCGTGAGGCTATTAAGCAATTGTTTAAAATCCCTACGACAGTTGTAGCCATGTCGTAAGGACGACTTATGCAGGTTGCATGCGATGGTTGTAGGCAAAAGTTGTGTCGTCTAAATCGGCCTTTATGGTAGAGCCTTTGCAGCTTTTACGTCATATATCATATACGCAATGCATTATGGGATATGTTTGAAGGAGAAAACATGGCGGATTAAATTTGTTTTCTCCAGAAACTKATTCCACAATGCTTTGCAAATCATGTAAATGATTTTGATATTAGCACGAAAGTTTTTTCTATACTAATATATAAAAAATCAAATTCATTCCTTTCTTGTCTWACTTTGGTGTTGTTTTTCTATTTTTTGATTGCCAATAGCAAAACCTGCAAATTCATATTATTCTGTTTGCTATGGTAATTAAATTAATCTGATTAAATAAATCAATACCCTAAATTTCAGCAAAACACAAGAAAATGAAAGTAGTAGAAYGCACAAAATACATCCCTCRAAAAAYGTTYATCAGAAATCATAAAAATTCAACCTAATAGAGTGCATTTCATATATTTGAAATAAAATCTACAGTTTCTAAATACAGGTCGTATTTTTTTCTCCTCTGTGAAAATAAAATAAAATGACTACCTACTTTGTGCTTGTTTATAGTGAGCAAAAGAAAACAATGTGTTTGAAGACTATAACTATGAACTATCCTTTGACAATTCTTTCACAGAAGAAGGAAAACCAGTAACTTTGGTACTTTAAGAATTATTTTGTATATATCAGATATATCAAATACACTCTAGTAGGTTCAGTCTGCTGAGACTGCAAAAAATGTTAAATCCATTTATATCCATTTTTGTTCAGTTTTTTTTTTCAGCATATTTTGCTATACTGTAGCACCTAAAATGTTTTTCAAACGTTATATATCATTTTTAGCTTTTGCCTTACTGAGTGAAAAGAATAATTTCTAAATCCACACACAAAAGTCTAAATCGGCTGCTTTAGCTTGTTATAAATCTTTTCTTCTTAATTTGTCATCAAATGCATGTCAATAAATTAGAAAATTATTATTCAATATGTATTAAAATCTATGGAAATAGATGTATCAAATGTTTTCACAAAAATAACCCAGTTAAAATATTCACACTAAATTCTCACTTTACACCCATTACGTACATATAAACATTTTTTTTTTCATTCATAGAATGATAGTGATGAATATTATTAATAAGTTTCATTTAATAGCAAGTGGATGAGATATTTTTCAAAATGCCAATTGCGTTCATTATGTAATATTAATAAAAAAATTAAATACATTTATTTAGTGGTGCACTGAAAAACCCAAGAAAGGAAAAGCATAGACTGCTTATGTCATAAAAAATTGAATTAATTTCCTTAAATTGAGGTGAAATATTAGTGACCTGAAAAAATGACTTAAATTACGTATGTACTAGTGTGCATAGCTAATCTATTCCTCTTACAAACACAGAAATGTTATGAACATAATTTGTCCTTGGAGCAGTTGTACAAACATACATTATCCAAAATCAATGGGATAATTTTGAGATTAATTAATTGAGGCATGCATAGTTTTTAACTTCTAAATAATATTAATGATAACACAAAACTAAAGATACACGTAAAATGGTACAACTTTCAGTGACAATTTATGTCCAATTATTTCAAAGACTGTGAAAGATGCCATCTGATAAATGAAGGCAAAAGAGGTCAATTAATTTAGAGCTATTTCTGTCGACCTATTTGAATGGCTAATCCATGTCATGAAGCCAATGGGATACCCTTATTACAACAATATTCTATTGTTTACTTGGTCTGATGCCTTGGTTTTCCATGCCAACCAGGTTTTCTAAAGTTCTTTTTCTTACTGGCAGAAGGTTGGTTGTCAACATCTCTGTGATACACCACTTGTCCTGCATAAACAACAATATATTAAATGCTCAATATATATACACTATTACTAATGACCTGACATATGATATCCTTAATAATAAGATACATGTAGGAAGACTGACTAGCTCAGTGGTTAAGCACCAAGCTTTACTGCATGTGGTTGCAGCAGCTCCCCAGACACAGGGTCTTGAATTATTATTGAGGAGAGATTGCTTYATGTGCAAATGGATCTTCACATTCTCTTGAATAACATTGTAAACCTTTTTACTTTCCCCTAACCCTGTAGTGGACCTTKAAGAGCCACTGTACTGWGAACACAGTGACGACCATCCTTWCTGCCTGTGACCCCATAAKCTGGAGGCRATCTTATTACTGCTGTAAGCTGGTGTAAAAGACAGTGTARTCTGCTCAAGTCCCCCAAACTCTTGTAAACTAAGAACAGACCTGTTCTGTGATCCTGATTAAATCAATCATCACCTATCTATCACCTACCTTTTTTATGAAGCTCTTTCACTTCATTCCAACCTGTGGATCAAACAAGAATGCTATAAATTATTGAAACACAATCACAGTATGTCTAAATTTGACCAAATGCAGAAATCGTGGCACTGTTCTTTCCCCTAAAGGCAAGGTTTTTGTGACCATGGTCCATAATACAAGCCAGCCATTTTGAATYGATTTTGAATCATCATCATTCATGTTCATTCATCAATCCCAAAATGTAGTGGGTTATAGTAATAAGGACTATGCCATGATGGGTGTCAATGCAAAGACATTCTGCTCTATTTTATCATTTTATAAGAAACACTGATACAGATCACTTTGTCTTCGCATTTGAACATATCATTAATTATATACAAAGCTGGTATGTACAATCTAAGCTTTACCTTTCAWAAGATAATTGACAGCTTCTTCTAAGTCGAATTCATCAGCTATTTTAGGGGAGTGTATGGCTGAGTCACATGAACCAACACTGTTCACGTCAACTCCACTGTCACTGTTGTATTGTAATTCTTCTAAAGAAACAAAAACAACATTTATTCAACTTATAAGTTATGAAGGGGATGTTCACAATAATCTCAAATGGCAGTCTATAGTGGGCAGCAGGGATGTGGCAAGAAACGAGATTTGGGAAGGAAGGATGCACACACGGTAAAAAGCTTGAAAATTTGTAAAGTTAATAATATACAGTAGTGTTTTTTTTGTTATAAGCCAAAAGAATTAACTTGTTTACACATCACATAGAGAGCACAATTTGTTTACAATGTACACAAACTTTGTCTATGACATTAGTCACGTACCAAATCTCTAAGGAATAACATGTAATTTCTAATTAAGGGATACACCATATTCCAAATCAAAAAGATGAACAGAAAAAAGAAATGCTATCAATACTATAGCCGGAAAATCTTGAATGTTGTCTGATGCTAACTCTGTATTCAAAACCTTTTAGCTTTCTATCAAATATCTTTATTATTAATTGGCGTTCATTGAGCTAGAAATAGCTAGCATATTGATTAAGTCTCTCCTAAAAAGTACACATTAATYAATTAAGTATTTTACTGACAGTATTAGGTTGATAATATTCTACACCATATTGTCAAAACATTGTCCTTACCTGTGGGTTTAGATTTGGCTTTCAGAAGAGCATCTCTATATGAGAATACAGCCCCAGTGTTATTACTACTATTTTTCTCTTCCTTTTCCGTTTTTGAAATTGAAGTTGAATTATCAGTCGTTTTGTTMCATTTTTCTATTTTTTGTACATTATCGTTTTCTGCTTTCAAATTCAAAGTCTTTGATCCATTAGAGAAATCATTAGGCTTTGCAATAAAGTTTCTGTTGTGACTACCCCTAGGATTTTGCCTTCTGTTATTTTGCTTTGTTTCTTTTGGAATGTCTTTTTTGCCTGAATTACTTCTTTCTCTACTTTGAAAGTCCTTCTTTCTCTTTCTATGAGATCTTCTGCCTTGAGACTGCCACCCTTYATCTTCATCCCAGGCAGACAAATTAGAAACATCACCATCAACAGATTCATCAACTTTAAGATCAATTGGATCAGGAGATCTAGAATTGTCTTTTAGGTTGTCCTTATCTACTAGAGGTCCATCTACAGATGAATCCATCGAAACATTACTGGATCTACTAATGTCTTGAGGGTCAGTTTTGCTTGGTTCCTTATTTGAAGCACTATTATCAATCTTGTAGATGTCATTGGAAGGTTCACAAGAAAGTAGTTCAATGGCCGACTGAATGAGTTTATCAGTTGAGAGAGGATGACCAAATGGTGGAGAAGAGAGTTGACGTAATTCTTCTGGTGAGTCTGAAAGCAAAAATGAAAAAAAGGGAATAAATAAATGAATTGTCTTGTCATTTTCTTGCTTTTATGCCTCTTGGCACATAAGGCCTCCATAAGACCTTTCCATATTTCTCTGTTGGCTACTGAAGCCCTACACATCCCCTGACCTCCCATCTGCATCTTTTCTTTTGCTCAAGGTGGTAATAAATTGAATAATAAAAGAAAAAATATATATGAAAAAATACAGCAGATTTTTCAATACAGTATTTGAATAATCAGTGATCTTACCCGTTGTTTCCGAGTCCAGTTGTTCAACACCATTCTCTGTTGTATCCACAATATTTTCCTCAATTGACTGCTTTTTATAACTTTTTTCCTCAGGTTTAACAACAGAAATATCAGCRACCATACTCTTATTCATTGTCACAATTCTTGAACCACTYTCTCCAGAATCTAATAATTTATTTTCAATTATCACACTCGAGTTCGCGTTCTCTACATTAGATGCTTGATCAGATGCAGTCGAAGATTTTTTCTTTTTCTTCTTTGCTTTCTTTTTAGCAGATGTACTAGGAWTACTAGGAGGAGTAACAGTTTCAATAGTATCTTCATTTGACTGGAGAGTCATATTTAGAAAAGTATCATTGAGTTTAAAGTCTGTAGAAGTAGTGTGAATGCCATTAATTCCAAACTTGTTGGAAATATTTATAGTAGTCGTTGGCAGAGTTAAAATCTCTCTTGCAACAAGTGTTTTGGGTTTTGCCCTATACATTTCAAACTGCTTTTTTGGCAATGCAGCAAGCTGTCGTGCCATTTCCTTGATTTGATCAACCTAATGAAATTAAAAGACAAAAGGTCAATAAGTATGCGTTTTAAAGTAAAAGAGAATAATGTCATAATTATAATCTTGACATAGCAGTTTCTTTGCTTTCTTCAGAGCTCATATTCCAATTTTTAAGGAAATAATATATCAATAAAATTTTGCAGCAGAGGAGGTTTCCATTGCATCTCACATTCATAGAATGTACAWGTACAGTAAGTRAMCAAGTGTGGCAATATCAATGCAAATTTCATGTCTTTGGGTGTTTCCTTACAAGTTATTTCTAAATTATAAGTTTCTAATCACTTCTGATATAATTAGTAGTTCATGGATTCTTATTGTCTGAAGTCAGATGAATATAAGTTCTAAAACAAAAGCACTAAATCTCCACTGAATCACATGGTCAAAACAGGTATCATTGAATACTAGTATTCTTTGTTTTACATAACAAACAAAGTTTTGATGTCATAAAACCTTTTCATTGACAAACACACCAACTGAATACTTGATAAGTAATGGAAAAGTGTGTTTACATGTGGAATAAGTTATATGTTGTAGAAATTTTATTGAACAAATTATAAACAAATTATATGTAAGCTCATAATGATCTAAATAAAAGATTACATGTACTAGTTGCTCGCTAACTATTCCATAAAATGTCTTTACTGTTTCATTGAAAGATTCAGCAAACTTAGGATTGATTCTGATTTTTGCCTCAGACATACATAGCAATCAAAACAAAGCTTAGAGGAATATTTGAAAACAATAGACACTCATGAATAATTGAGAAGTGTTCCTTTGTATAAACTACACTACAGAGTAAACAAAAGTGATTTTAAAATCTACAGCCAAAAGACAGCAAATATAGATTTGAAATGCTTTTTCATTATTATTCTTAAAATAATGAAATATTTTTTTTATTTTTGAATGATAGACTGCTGATTTGCAACAATGAAATATTTTTGCATGTGAAAACATTGACACCTACAGTGTGGCTTATAGTTTACACAATTTAATTCCAGTCAGTTCCAATTGTTATTAATCTATCAATGTACTTAAAAAAATCGTACTGTACCATAATAACTATAGATGTACATGGCCATCTACGATTCTTCTAAATTTAGAAAATATTTATAAAGCAATGATAATTTTTAAACAAAACATGTCACTCTTCTTACTATAAAAATATATGATTTTATATCAAGAGAATTCTAAATATAGAGTGACATGTTTGAAGCATCTCTTGCCTTTCTATTAAGTTATAAAACATGTTAACAAAAAAACAATTGTTTTTATTAAAATGTTAAAATTATTTGATCCCTGCAAGAAAACAGTTGAATTGTAACTTGGGTCAAAGGTGATGGAGGAGTAGCTTCAGATAATTTTTTTTGTCGAAAATGACGCAAGAGCATGAATTCCGAATAACTTAAGCTTAAGTTTAAAAATAAATAGCAAAATGTTATCAAAACCAACTAGAAGAAAACAACATATAATAACACTTATACTATATTATATAAATGGAAAAGCAATTAGCACGTTGAGTACTTTGGAAAAATGAATTTCAACTTCTAATACAATGGCTGCAGAGCCCGTGAATTCTATCACGTACGTGTTTCATCAGTCTCATTTCGGTTGATTTTCYGTAGAACAACTAGATAGGTAGACAAATGACGGAAGATATGTGTAAAGCAAGAAATATTCACTTTAAAACAGACTTAAATTTTCTCTAAAGAAATAACAGCAATGAGTTAACAGATCTTGGAATGACCTTACCACGTTGTAATATTGCTACCGGAGCGAGACTTTGTACACCGCCAAGACAAGAAATAGAAATCGTGCAAGGACCGGAGATATTGCTAACAAGAAAGTCTGAAGCACTGCAGGCGTTTCTGATTGCACTGAAGATAAACCTTTTTATCGGAGATGTTAGCAGCTGTAGTAGAGTGAATTTTGCGTCTAGTGTCGTGGCCAAAAGAGGGATTGCATAATGACCCCGAGGCCACACGTCACATGTCTCCCGGTTGTGTTGAATATTAATCACCAAACTTATTGTCTTAGAAACGGACGACAGCTAAACAAACKGCTAGCCAAAGCTGGCTATCACAAAATCAAAGTAAAATAATCCAACAAGAGAAATCTGCGCTAAAATTCACAAATAAGAAAGTTGTAAAAGATGGCGTTTGTTTGCATAGCAACCAAAATTTTTGAAATGAAACATCTTTACGGGCACAAGTTGTCGACTTACCCGCTCTGTTTCAAGGGTTTTGGGGATGTTGTCGTAGAGTTCGAGAAATTTATCAACTTCATCTGCTCGTAATGCTTCAGCAAGTTCAACAGCGAGGGCAATTTCGTCCTGGTTTAGGTTGTAATTCAGCAAAATGTCGTTTTGTTTTTCAGCCATTTTGAAAACTCCATTTCGGTTGTCAGCTTAAATGTTCACGCATGCGCACGAGCTTAGAGGGCGTGAGGGGGGAGTTTGAGAGGTGCGTCTCTTTTCCGAATACATTTTTATTTATCTATTTTGTTCCTTTTTTTTCCCTGTAATTTGTTAGGATCCGCGAACTTGAAAATCATCTCGTCATCGTGCTGTTTCGCACCGAGTGGTGCATAAGGCCTCTATCGAAAATAAAACTACAATGAAAATAAAACTACGAAAATCATCTACAATGTGGTAAAAGTCTCCTTCGCATTTTTTTTGTTTTTGTTTTAGGTCTTTTAGAATTCCTGGCCCTCGTCGAAATTTTCTTTCTTCAACTACAAAGAGTTTCTAAAGTTTAAAAATCTATCATATCATAATTCTGTATAAAATCGAAAACTGTATATATCGCTTTTAACGCCCTTACAAGCACCTGCCGACGCGATGTGTTAGTACGGGCCAGGCTCCTCTGGAGTCTTTCTTTCGAGTGAGTTCCAGAGTGCCTCGAAAGGATGAGGACAGATACCTACCCATGGAACCCATGGAATCTCCTGGATCCGTCACTGGTATTAATTGGTCAAGAAAACGTCAAGCTCCACGGAATGGTTCTTGTTTGTTCTCTACCTAAAAGGCAGTGAGGGAGTATGTGAACTGGTCACTAGACCATATATGATGAACTTTGCACTAAATAAGACAGCTATCTAAAATATTATGTCAATCTAATGCACTAGTCAAGGTAACATAGTCCCCACCCTGTCCCCGGCCGGTTGGAGGGGGGTTACGTTGACTAGTGCATAAGGTTGGTGAAAGTGACAAACGTTGATAATCAGTCATGGTAATTTTTAGCGCGTTGATGGTATTAATGTGGGATATGCGAAGCGGGATCATTTTCCATTTATTGCATATCTTTATTTAATTAGCTGATAAGTTTTATTTTTATTTCCATTTACCTTATTTATTTTCTAAATTTTCTAAACTCCCTAAATCGGGATTTCCCGGATCCCGCATCCCGCGCGCTACTCTCAATTCGTATCCAGTCTTCACTCTGTTTTAATGCCCCAGAACTCCTTGCGAATTCAAAATGGCGGAAAATACAAAGATCGAAAACGACGAGAAAACGTCAAACAAACAAATGGACGGTGCCAGCGACAGCTCAGACGAGGAAAACATGGATCAAGATGGTGATTCTGAACCAGAAGAAGTTACTGAGAAAGTAGTTGACCCTGAAGTGCATAAACTAGAACTCGAGGTAAGCGTACTAGGCAAAGTTGAAGATCTCGTTGCTGTTCTCACATGCTTCTTAAGCTTATATTTTGCGCATGTTGGTCTGTACTCATACAGTATGTGTATTGCTTATGTTATTACTTAGAATGCTAGATATGTGTGCATTGCTATGAATTAGAATGCTAGATACAGGTATTAGAATTGTGGAACTCTGCAAAGTCAAGAAAATGTTTGCAATTAAAAGTTAAAGATATCAAGAGAAGTTAAAGATATCATTAATGATAGGAGGTATTCAAATAAGATGCTCTTTAATATGGCGATTGATATGAAGTACTGTAAGCTACCTCAGTATTTTACAGCTGATCTTGGCACAAAATGCATTACTTCAGGGAGGCATGCAGGTCATCCAAGGAGAGGATGCACTCCACAATTTATAATAATTGAGACATATTAGGAGTAAAATATTATAAGTTGGATCTTAGGAGGTTGTGCACCCTCTGCACCCATCAGCTGGATCAGCAGCTGAAACCTTTTTTGAAGTTTGTAAACATTGTTGTCAGGTGTCATAATATTTTTCCATCTCTTCTTTTGTAGGTCCAAGCTAATCCTTATAAGTATGATTCACATTTACAACTCATTAAGCTTGTACGAGCATCTGGAGACTTGGATAAACTAAGAGAAATAAGACAGAACATGAGCAAGATATTTCCTCTTACTGAAGGTGTGAATTCAATTTCGTTGCTATGTGAAGTTTTGCTATCAGAATATCTTTGCACTGTTAAACTCTTTAACCAAATAACTGTCAAAATGAAGACACATTTAGAAAGAGGAAACACCTATAGTTCAGTTTGCTTCAATTGAATTTTATTTCTAATAGTGATGGTTTATTATTTTTTCTCACTTCAGAACTTTGGCTAGAGTGGATAAAGGATGAACTTCCTCTYGCATGTTTACCTGAACACAGAAAGATGATCCTGTCTCTATTTGAACATGGAGTAAAAGACTACCAATGTAAGAAAATCATAATTTACAAAGAAAATAGAAAATCATGTCAAACTTTAGTATTATTCTAAGCTGCACAAATTAATCTACAGTACACTGTACATTATCAGAACATTTCATGCAATATCGCAACTATTTTTCTAGTACAACGTACAGATATGTACTAGTAAAATAGTAAGTTGCGATATTGCATGAAATGTTCTGAGATATACATGTACGCTTGTTAAAAAATACTCTACAGATAAAATAGCTAAAATTGAAACCAGATTTRWTATTCRRCCAAAGTGTTTACTTGCTAGAACAGCTCATAATTTTCAAAACACTTATGTTCCACTTAATTGGGAAATGTAAACTAATAAATAAGTTGTTAACATGAAAACTCAGCTACATTTGATGCATGCATGATTGATAGACCTTTCACCATTTTTACAATAATGGTTGGTGTAWTTTGTTGATATTTTCAGCTGTGAAACTATGGATTGAGTATTGTCARTTCATAATGGACAACATGGAAGGTGATGATGGTCTATCAAATGTAAGAGATGTGTTTGAAAAAGCTATTGTTGCAGCAGGACTTCATGTCACAGAGGTAAGTCTTTGAGAAATACACAATGTATCAGCTGCAATTTACACTGTATTTTTGTTAAGTGAGTGACATTGCAGTGTTTTTTCATGATAATGTCACATAATCTCTTTTATGAGTCATCATGATTTGGTTACTGTATATTTAGTATCATCATTATAATGTTTTTAAACTGTACAGGGTTCATCAATCTGGGATGGTTACAGAGACTTTGAGATGGCTATTCTTGATTCATTTGAGGTACACAATATGTCCTGTAATCCTTGACATGCCTTTTATCTCTTGTGATTTATCAGTGAAATTACTACTATTCTTACTTCCATCTRCATGTTGAGCATAAATCACACTCAGACACACTCTAGACTACTCTTAGACTTAATTCATGACTTTCAAAAATRACRGATGGTCACACTKGGCACTGGGCACTGGTCTTGAAGGGCAGCCTCCATAATATGATGATATCTTGCAAGACTGTCTTGTCATAAATAACATTATGTGAACTTACATGTACGCCATTTCTGAAAGTCTTGTATAAAACACAGCAAAGGCCATACATAGAATAAATAGCAAATTGTATAATATAGAAAGTTGAAATATGGACCTTATTTTAGTGCACTTCATGATTTCTTGCAATGAACTGGGTTGGATTGAATATTTACATGTGTTATATATGATTTTCCTAAAGAGAGGAATGTTTTTTGGTAGTGAAATAAGTCATGCTGTCAATTATATCATTGACACAAATTAATTTATTAATAATCTTGATCTTATGATTTTTATATGAAGCAAATGCTGACAGATGAGAACAAAAACACCATGGAAGAAAAAATGTATGTTTATTAGCAAAATATAGTGTGTGACATCAGATAATGTATAATTTTACATTTTTATTTTGGCTATAAAGAGAATCAATAATTTATACATGTATTGTGTGGGGATAACAAGTTGTTAATTTTATTTATTTTTGAATATAGTGAATCTCAAAAAGAAAGAGTTAAGTCACTGTTTAGGCGACAAGTTGCTATTCCTCTGTTAGGTAAGAGAATAGTGGACTATGCAATGTTGCAATCTTCCAGACGATTGTCTCTGCCGACTAGTCAAGCTTAATGATGCAAGCCTAGGGGCTCCTATGGCAGCAAAAAGCTAAAAAAAAACACTTATAAGTGGTTTTTTAAGGTAAATTTAGGTTTGACCATTCAATAAACAAGCGATCCAACCTAAATTTACAAAGAGTTGCATAAATTAACGCTCCCTAGGAAATTCAAATCCACAATAGTTTGATTGACAACACCTTATATGGAAGTCAAATATTCCATCATCTTTTCATAGTCGAAAATTCTCCACAATCAACAAATAAACACCCGTCGTCAAAGGGTTAAGCAGTTTTAAAAGAAATTCAGTTTTCTGTCTTCTTGGGGCCACTTCGTTCCAATTCAAATCAAAAACCATAAATGACATCATAGTGACAATAGTGGTATGAAAGGACCCTCACCCCAATGAAATCCTGGTCCATATGCTCCTGAATATTATTTTTCTTCTTTAATCATGTTTATATTTTGATTATGCTCTGTTTTATAACATGCAGGCATGCAAGGAACAATGAGGGATTTTGAAGACTGGGTAGAGGATGAAGAAGAAATACCAGAAGCAGTTGAGCAGGCGCATGCTAAAGCATTGGCCAAACTAGAAGAAATAATACCTTATGAAGATACTGTTGTAAGGACTGCAAACATATATCCATACTCTTTATATCACAGTGAGATGATGAGAGCATCTAAACTCAAATCAAGTTTATTAAAAAAAAAAAACATTACACATTGTCACAGAAAGCAAGGCAAAAAAAAGAGTTAGTCGATGAACAATACTCACTCAAACTCTCAGAAAAGAGTGTAAGGAAAGACTGAATTTGCTTTACTTGGAAAGAGGTGCTTCACATCTTACAGTTGTCTGTATTGTCACAAATCATCCAGACCACATTTAAAAGTATTCATTGCTTCATAGTCAAATGTTATATACATGTATCTGTTGCAGGCCAGTGCAGAGCCCCCAAAGCTCACTGAATACAGGTCATATTTAGAGTACGAAGTCAAGAAGGGGGATCCTGCTAGAATACAATGTCTTTATGAGAGAGCAATTAAAGAAAACTGCCTTGTGGGTGACCTGTGGATAGAATACACTGGATATCTGGTATGGTGTAACTGAGCATGCTCAGTTTATGAAAAGTTCTATCCCACATGGATCAATGTTGCTACTTGTACTTGTAAAAAAGCTTGTACTTGTAAAAAAGCTTTGTTTGCTTGGATCTTTGTGGCATCAATGATATTACCCAAGAAAACTATATTCTCCTTAAGTGTTACAAGTTCATACTAGATCACTCAGCAAAGAAAATACGAATTCCTTCTGTTTTTCTTTCTGTTGCAAGGACACCAAGTTAAAAATGTCATCTGTTGTGCTCCCAGTCTATGAGCGTGCTCTACGCAACTGTCCTTGGGTTTCAGTGCTTTGGCAAAATTACATGAAAGCTTTGGTAAGTGAGTGCAATAAACCATCTTTTCAACTTTGATCACTCAAACCGGATAACCAAAAATGCTTCATAACAACTGAATATTTTTGTTTAGAAGGAAAAATTTATATTCATGTTTTAATGTTTTACTGTTAATAAACACAGGAAAGATCAAAAGCTAAAGAAACTACAATGAAAGGTATCTAGCATCTTTCATGTCCAGTTTGCTGTTTCAGTGCCTTACTCAACAGTCAAAGTGAAAATAACCAAAGGGAGATCCCTCAAGTGTTGCAACCTTCAACCTCAAACATGCATTTGGGTTTAAAAGTTTTGAATGAATAAAATAAAAAACTATATTTAGAGGGCTGAGATGTTACAAATTATACTAATTTAGTGTTAATTAAGCCTTATCTTCCATTGAGCCATTATGAAGGTTTTCCCAAAAAAGTTCCAAAAATTATAAATGAAAAAGTGAAAGAATGTTTGCCTTTTGAGTCACTTTGATTTAATTGTTATGTAGAGACACTAGACAAGGCTTTGACCTGTGGATTCACTAACGCACAAGATTATCTTCAGTTATGGCATTGTTATTGCTCGTTTCTGAGAAGACAAATCGAAGAATGGAGTCCAGGTAACTCACATAACAGAAGTACATTATGTTATTAAATGGAGTTTCCACAATAATCATCATTCCAAACA